CACAACATCTGGGACTTTTCTTTCATTTTTGGATGGAATATTTTTCGATACACTATTTCATTGTTTCTTTATGATTATTTGTCACTTTTTTAAGCGCTGCACTTTTATATATTACTGCGGATTGCCTAGTATCAGGGTTTTTGTGTTCAGATGCTATATGTTTCACAACTAATTTTTATTGATTATCTATTATGGTTTTTTATTAGCGCAGGTTTATATATATATATATATATATATATATATATGTATGTGTGTATGTTTGATTTTTCGCAGCCGGCCTATACTGTAGCAGTAAAGCTACAGTGCACCAGACTTTAAATGGTTGATGGGAGTGACAAAGTAGGCTTGTTTGGCAACATGGAGAGAGGAACTGTATTTTAAAAAGGCAGATTTATATAGGGTGAATGCTTGCTGATATTTGGTTTTACACCACAATTATGGCTATGTCTCTTAAGATTTCTAGTGTCATCAATATGCCAAGGTTGTAATGGTCGGGGCCTGATACTCTGTGTACTGTGAGGAGCAAGCGAGTCCAGTGTGGATGAGAATGAACTGTTGTAGACAGAAGTAGTCAAGACAGGGCAGGATAGGGGTATGATATTGTAACAGAGGTGTTCAGTTGCAGACTAGAAAAAAGCAGGAATAAAGTGGCAAAGGTTTCTGCGGGTGTTTTTTTGCTGCTTGGAGAGATAGGTGGTTAAGGGCAAGGATACTATGAAAGTGATGAGGTTGTGATCAGAGAGAGGAAAGGGGGTGTTGGCAAGTGAGTGGAGGACAGTGTCCATTGTGTTAGGACAAAAGATGAGGTTAATTTGAAAAGTTAAGATGTAGCCAGGCCAACATTAATGGGGGTGTTAAAATCACCAAGAACAATAGAGGGCATTTCAGAGGAGAGAAAGTAGAGAAATTGGGCACAGAAGTCATCAAGGAAGCGTGACACCAGTCCAGGAGGCTGATAGATCACTGCAGTCCTTAGAGAAAATTGGAGAAAACAGACAAATACAGCGAGTCTCAAGAGAAGAGAAGTATAGAGAGGGAGGGGTAGAAAATACTTGAAAGGTTCTCATTGAAGATAGAAGCAAGCCAACTCCTTTCCAACCACTGGGTCTGGGTGAGTGAGTCCATTGGAGGCCTCCATGGTAGATGGCTGCAGGAGGGGCAGAGTCAGATGCTGGAAGCCAGGTTTCTGTAACTGCAAGTAGGTTAAAGGAATGGGAGACAATAAGGTTGGCAAAGCTGAGCTCATTACAGACAGAGTGGGCATTCCAGAGGGTACATAAGAAGGGGGGTTGGTTTTTGGGAGCTGGGGGATCGAGCTTAAACTGAGTGGATTACGGCTGTTGTCAGGGGGAAGGAGGGTTCTGGGTGTGGGGGTGAGATATTGGAGAATGAGAATTAGGGGAGATATCCCCTGAGATTATGAAAAGAAAGAGGATGAGGAAAGTTAGATGGGAGTGGGATGTATATGAGTGCACATACCTCCCTGTCCTGGTGTGTGGATTACGTATTTGCAAGAGGTGATTCGAACAGTAGTAGGGAGAGGGTATATAAGGGAATTCCTGTGAGATGGCTGGCTAATAGAAATGCGCATGCGAACAGCAACCTCCGCAGAATAGTGACCAGATGTGCACATACGCACAGAAATGCACGATCACGCACAGTGATTATTGGCGCCAGATGGACTATTTAAAGGATGCTTCTGCCTGTGCTTAGTGCTGACTGGTCTTCAGCTGTTTCCCTGTGTCCTGCTGTATTCCTGTATGATCCCCTTGTTGCTGACCCGGCTTGTTCCTGACCTGACTTTGGATTCTTCTCCTGCCTTGTTGCTAGTTCCTGTTCCCAACTCTGTTCCTGACTTCAGATTGCTCAGGATTTGGTACCTCGCTGTCCGCCCGTTGATGACCTTGGCTATTCCTGTGACCTTGCTCCTGTCTCCGATCCCAGCTTCCTGTCCTGCTCGAGTGCCCGCCTGGCTGTCTACTATACCAGCTCTACTCACCATAAACTGTTCCTGCTTAAAGTTCACTGGGAGATCTGACACGTCACTTATCCTGAACCTGTTGTGCAAGCGGAGTGCCCTTTTAACCCAGGTGGTATTCCGAAACATCTCTACCATTCCTGAACCGGTGGTTCGCCAGCCTCTTCAGGACTCCAACTGTAAGCTCTTCAGGCAACACCTGCTGGCACTCTTGTTGCCCTGGTCTCTCGGCACCCTCTGTTCCACTTTGAGTTGGGTCAGGACTAGTGACACAAGTGAGGCCGACCTCAACATTTCATTCTTCTATCACCTATCTCTTATGGCAACACTTGCCTGGAGTTTGCATGCTCTCCCTGTGCGTACGTGCGTTTCCTTCCACACTCCAAAGACATTTTAGTAGGTTAATTGGCTCCTGTCTAAATTGGCCCTAGTATGTATGAATGTAGGCTAGGGATCCTAGATTGTACGTTCTGTGAGGTCAAAGACTGTTGTAAATGCACAATATATACTTAAAGTGTTACTAAACCCACAACAGTAAAATCAGTCTGTATATGCAGTAAGGCATGCTTGTTATACTCACTGTGGAGCCTAAAGGGTTAATCCTCTGCACTGTGTAAAAATGCTGTTTGATCCTGACTTCTCTGATCTTCCCCTTCTTCCAGTGTCCCCCTCTTGTCTGCTGACAAGACACATTGTGTGGAGTCACTCTGCACATGCTTATTTGGTGTGTATCACGAGAGAGGTTTTTTTTTTCTTGGGAGAGTGCATGTGATCAGCACAAGACCAATCAGCACTGTCCAGACAGAGGTCAGGGGTCATGCATCCTCCTAGGAGAGAATGAATGCTCCTCCTACAAGCTTTGACTAGTGCTCTGCTGGGCACTGATAGAAGACTGCTCTAACTCCTGATGAGAAAAGGTATTTAGCTGTTTAAATTTACTAAAATAATTGCATTTCCGTGTTCTGTGTACTGTGAGAGACCAGATATATAGTTAGTTCCATATATATTTGGACACAGGACCAATTTTAGCTTTTTTCAGGTATTTACCAAAACATTTTCAAGATATAGTTATATAATGGATATGGGCTGAAAGTGCACACTCTCAGGTTTAATTTGAGGGTATGTACATCCAAATTGGAGGAAGGGTTTAGGAATTACAGCTCGTAAGAATAGCCACCCCCCTTTTTCAAGGGACCAAAAGTAATTGGACAATTGAATCAAAAGCTTTTTCATGGCCAGGTGTGGACTACTCCATTATTTCTTCATTAATTAAGCAGATAAAAGGTCTGGAGCTGATTTTAAGTGCCTTATTTGCACTTAAAACTATTGCTGTGAACCTACATCATGCGTTCAAAAGAGCTGTCCATGCAAGTGAAACAGGCCATTGTAAGTCTTCAAAAATGAAAAAAATCCATCAGAGAGATAGCAGCAACATTAGAAGTGGCTAAATCAACAGTTTGGTACCTTTCTGAGGAAAGAAGAACGCACTGGTGAGCTCAGCAACATAAAAAGGCATGGATGTCCACGGAGGATAACAGTGGTAGACTTTGCCAAAACACATTTTAAAAAGCCAGACCAATTTTGGAAAAGCATTCTTTGGACAGATTAAACTAAGATTAATCTGTATCAGAATGAAGGGAAGAAAAAAGTGTGAAGGCTTGGAACAGCTCATGATCCAACGCACACAACGTCATCTGTAAAACATGGTGGAGGCAGTGTGATGGCATGGGCATGCATGGCTTCCAGTTGCACTGGGCCATTGGTGTTTATTGATGATGTGACAGAAGTAACCGGATGAATTCTGAAGTGTTTGGAGATATACTGTCAGCCCAGATTCAGCCAAATGCAGCAAAGTACAGATGGACAATGATCCAAAACACACTGCAAAAGCACCCCAATAATGTTTGAAGGAAAAGAAGTGGAATATTCTGCAATGGCCGAGTCAATCACCTGATCTCAAACCAATTGAGCATGCATTTTACTTGCTGAAGGCAAAACTAAAGGCAGAAAGACCCACAAACAAAGAACAACTGAAGACAGCTGTAGTTAGAGCCTGGCAAAGCATCAGAAAGGACGAAATCCAGTCTTTGGTAATGTCCATGGGTTCCAGACTTCAGGCAGTCATTGGCAGTAAAAGATTCTCAATAAAATATTAAAAATTAACATTTTATTTATGATTATATTCATTTGTCCAATAACATTTGAGCCCCTGAAAATGGAGGGACTGTGTATAAAAATGGTTGCCGTTCCTAAAATTTGTACTTGATATTCATGTTCAACCCCTAAATTAAAGCTGAAAGTCTGCACTTCAAATTCATTTGGATTGTTTGTTTTAATTTATTCTGGTGGCATACAGAGCAAAAATATGAAAATTGTGCCTGTGTCCAAATATAGTAACACTTTAAAGCACTGTGTAAATTGACAAATCTATATGAATCCCTATAATAAATAAAGAAAAGGGATCAGGTTTGGATAGCAGTAACCATTTTAGATTATATGTCTTAATTTTTGAGAAGCTTCCAATACAGACTTTACAGTATGTGGCAAAACTGAAAAGAGGTATAAAAAATTGCAATAGTTAGTTGTATTTGCTTAAAAAGTATCAAAAATATGACAAGTTTATTAAATGTAGAGATTATCTTTGGCAATTCTGCATCCATGAATAGTCAAAAGAATTAATCACGCCTTATTGCTGTTATAGTTCTAATCAGGTCACTTTGCTAATGATTGATGTATCTATGCTGAAATGAGTCACTGAATTGATTTGTAGAAAAAAAAAAAAAAAACATGTCAATAAGTGTATTACTATGGCTAGAACAAAATAAACTACTAATGAGATGCACCCATCCCCAAATTTAAATAAACAGCAAGTCATGAAAATGCCTTTGATATGCAAGCATCTAATTAAATAGGTTGTAACAAGGATGTAATTGGCCCCTGTAAGCAAACACATTTTAATAAGTGAAAAAAAAGTACAGAACCTTTTGTATAAAAGGAAGTCAAAAAGAACTGCAAGCATTTCACCTAAGCCATCCACAAAGCTCAATCTGCAGTTATGGCCACTAAGGGTGGAAAGGGAGTAAGCGGAGGCAGCGGTGGCGCTGGAGTCTATGGTGGAGGTTCCGCACAAGCCAAAGACTGTGGCAGTAAGTACTACATAAAACTGAAAGTAGAATTCTAATTGAATGTGTATATTTTTACAGCAAAATGTCCTGCATTCACATCGAGGGGTAGTCAAATCAATCAACCTGGAAAGGGACCAAATTACCAATCTTTGTAAATACAATTCTTGACAATTAATAAGCCATAGCTCATTGTTAGTAATGATTGTTTTAGGAAACTATTTTTAAGTAAAAAGTGTGACTCATGTACTGTAAGTATATATTTTGTGAATTGCTCTATAAACATTGATGCCAAATAGATGTCAAAGATAGATACCAATTCACTAAGTTTTTATTGGTTGGGTGGAATGCACTCTGTGAAACTACACTCTGGAGCTGTAAAAACTAGTCAGCAATGAGCATTTGTGAGATCTGAAAATGCTCTCCTAAATTGTTGGAATAGTGTAATCTCACCTCCGAAGGTCAGCTGTAAGTGCTGTTATTCAACTATATGGTCTGCATTTCAGAACAGAAATGTAAGCTCAGTGTCACACCGCTAGGCCTCAAGGAAGCTAACTTGTCTTCTATCTGAGTGCAGGGCTGTTAGCTAACATACTGTGTGGGTTTCTGTAGCTTGCAATTGTCAATTAACCATGCCATTTTTTTTTCTTGTAATCCTGGTAGTACCCTTGTTATATGACACATTTGTGAGAGTCTGTTATCAACAAGTTGAAGCAGGAGACAGGATGCCCCTACAACCTGACACATTTGCTCTGACAGGGAGAGTATACAAGTAACTAGAAAAAAATCAAGCTATTCCAAATGACCATGGATGCACTATTGAAAGGGTACACAAGTGGGGAATCAACTGAATAAATGCTATATGCCCACTGGTTTGAGTGGTACTCATACTTAAATGAACTTTGGCATAGGCAATTTCAAACACTTCTGACAGTTAACTGTCAGTCTTTGTAAAAAGATCAGGTCAAAGCATAATGCAACATAAGTATACTATTTATTATTTATTATTTCAGGTACTTTTATAGTGCTGTCAATTTATGCAGTGCTTTACATATATATATATTGTATATTCACAACAGTCCCTAACCCTCAAGGGACGTACAATCTAAAAATCCCTAGCTTACATTCATACATACACATACTAGGGACAATTTAGACAGGATCCAATTAACCTACCAACATGTCTTTGGAGTGTGGGAGGAAACTGGAGTACCTGGAGGCAACCCACACAGGTACAGGGAGAACAAACAAACTCCAGGCAGGAGGTGCCGTGGCTGGGATTCAAACCAATGACCCTAGTAGTGCCAGGCAGAAATGCTAACCATTTAGCTACTGTGCTGCCCACTTTTGTTGATTCAGCATTACACTAAAATTTATATTTGGAAATGGCTACAAGCAAGGTAAGCAATGAAAAACATATGCACAAGAAAACTAATAATATTAAACAATGGTCCCAAAACTACTCATACCACATTCCAATAATAGCTATTCATACATAATACAAAATTACATGACAGGGAATTTTAAGATATCACAATAATGTAGATGTGTTACTACAGATAATTATTAACAAAATCCTTATTTATTATTATACATATATTTTTAAAAGATTAAGGTACAATATACTGTACAGAATACTCCACTGGTTATCATGCAATGTTGTTAATGTATGAATATGCATAAGATATTGAGTATTCTTTGTTAATATCCTGTATTGTGTATAAAGGGGGATAATAAGTACAACTATTGCTTTTCAGGATTTGCACATAATATATGCTAGATTTTTTTTATATATAAGAAGGGGAATAATATATAGTAAAAATTGCTTGCATTTTAAAAATGTTATTAAAAAAAAAAATGGCTATAGTTTTATCAAATATTAGTTTTTTGTGAAATATCAACATAAGCAGTTGTTTATGTATATCCTAAAATATCACCCCAAAGCATCTTTTGCATGTTGTTAAATCTAGGCATATTTGGTTTTCAATTTATTAAAGCTTCTATTTTTTTTATAAAATCCCCAGTTACACCAGTGCAGCCATGCCAGGTCATTCCAGAACCATGTGGGGGTAAGAACTGTGTATATTTTAATTTAAACTGTGTTTCAAAGGGTCACAAGTTAAAATTGGGCAACTTTTGATATCAGTAATCTGTTTAGAGACCCAGTCTGCTTGGGAATGCAATTGAATCAGAAACACTATGCTTAGCAGACTGGTAGAAGTGGGCTCAGAGCCACTTCGATTAATAATTGTCTCATCGAAGCTAATTACAAAGTGTCATTGTGTTGGTGATATGGTCCCTAGTCCAGCATTGCTAGATGTTTTCCTCAGCCTTCTTCACTTTGCTTTCAAAAAGGTTGCATTGGCACAATGAACCATGCTTGGTGGCAATGCCAAATAAGAAACTGTTGGTACTGTCTATTATTTGTTACTATATATATATATATATATATATATATATATATATATATATATATATATATTATTATATATTTTTTTTAAAACAAATAAATAATAAATATAAAAAACAGTATATTCTAGATGATAGGAAACAGGGTGTAGCTGATATAAAAGGGTGCAAAAACATATTAATAATATTGCTGAAGCACAGAAAGAGGAAAGGATGGCTAAATCCATTACAAAAGGAGACAAAACCTTTTATGAAATATCAGAGACAGGAAGAAAGTATGCAATGGGATCACAAAAATGAAAACTGGGTGCAATACTTAAGTTGAAGAAGATCTGGATGTATAAAAAAAAAAAAAAGAAACAAAAATTAATTAAATAAATAAATTAAAAAAAGCCAAAATCAAAAAGGGGCATACTCAGTGTACCTCTTGGTCTTTTTTTTGCCATTGTTCGTTTATGTTTCTACATTTGTATGATGATTTGTTACATTAATAAATAACCCTTAGTTTCCCTTAACATCTTGGCTACCTCCTAAATATTACTGAAACTTTCTGGAAGACCACAACTGTTGACTTTTCATTAGTTAAAAGATATTTAAACCCTAGCAATATACTTCTCTTATTTGCCCCTTTCAGTCTATCATTTTGGTATTTCCTATATAAATTTATCCTGCTAGGAACCAGTGAACTCAAATTTTTTTTTAATGTTTTCTACCTGTGCAGCTCTCTTATGAATTAGCAGTGTTCCCAGTTCACCTTTAAGAATCACTGAACTCCTCCCACTTATGTTGTGGAGACAAGGATAGAGGGAAGTGTTCTGTAATCCTAACACACTTTCTATCCTAGGTGACAATCCACATTCCATAGGTATAGTATACCCAGTGAGCATTGTCCCCTTAGGACAGGAAGTATGTTACTGGCAGGATTACCAGGTGAAAATAAATGAGCAAAACCTGAAAAAAATAATGCAGCCACCACATCTAATGGGCAGTAACCAGAAATATATTGCACCCGTGTTCTTGGGTTTAGATATGTTTTAAAGCATATTGTCATGAATAATAGACAAACACCTCCCTAGCATTCTTATGGATAAACAGGATCACTTTGTTAAGGTCTTGGTATCACCCATGGATTCATTACCTTCTGTAATTCTAAGAAGCAATGGTTGGATGGTAGAGTCCTGGGAGTATGTCTGTCTCTCACCTTTTCCATTGTCCCCATTTTTCTCCCTCATCTATTCTGCACCATAAAAGAACATATATATATATATATATATATATATATATATATATATATATACACACACACTTCTATAATGGCATTGGTTCTGAACCTTACGATGAAGTATATACTGTTTAACTAATTCAATGGCATTCTCCTCACTTTCTTTCCCAGTAACAATACAGGCAAGGAAAAAACTTTCTATTGGGTGCAGAGCCAGGCTTTAACTCTTCCCACTTCATTAAAATGCTTTTATTGCTGTCTGCATCCCTGTTTGAGGGTGTTTCCCCCTTAGTTCTTATTCCACACCACTGAGGAAGTAAGAAATGCCCTCTCCATAGGACCAATGCAGACTCCTCAAAACAAAATGGGTTAGATAAAAATTACATTGCTACTATCCAATATTTTGTATAATTAAAGTGTAATTATTGGTTAATAATTTGTGTACTATGTCATTCTTTAGTTTTCTGTTGATCCATGCCAACAAGCTGGAGGTGGTGCTGGAGGATTTGGTATAGGAATTGGCAGCGGAGCACAAGGTACTGGTTACTGTAATGAAGCAAGAAACTGAGAAGCCAAAATAAACTATTTAAAATTTGTGAAATTAATGCTTAAACTACTGTTTCTAGATCTACAGTATATTATTGACCATTATTTAAATTATCTTAGCATGTATTTCACTGTACCTATACTGATCTTAATCTCATTAAGGTAAATGTGATTTAGCATGGTATTCTGAAAAAAAAACCACATTTTTGTAAAAAAAAGGTATTAAGACATGCATTCCTGCACAATAACTTATGTACTATGTCATGTATGTTGTTGACCCATGCCAACAAGCTGGAGGTAGTGTTGCAGGAATCAGTATAGGAATTGATAGATAAAAATTACATTGCTACTATCCAATATTTTGTATAATTAAAGTGTAATTATTGTTTAATAATTTGTGTCATTCTTTAGTTTCTGTTGACCCATGCCAGCAAGCTGGTGGTGGTGCTGGAGGAACTGGTATCGGAATTGGCGGTGGAACACAAGGTACTAGATACTGTAGTGTAGCAAAGAAAAGTGATAACCAAAGTAAACCATTTAAAATATGTGAAATTAAATGCTTAAACTACTGTTCATAGATCTATACTATTAACAGTTATTTAAAATTATCTTTACACGTGTCTCACTGTATCTATACTGCTCTAAATCTATGTAAAGTATATGTGATTTAGCATGGTATTTAAAAAAAAAAAAAACATTTTTGTAAGATACATAGTATGACTTTCATTCCTGCACAGTAACATGTACTATGTCATTCTTTAGGTATTGTTAACCCATGCCAACAAGCTGGAGGTAGTGTTGGAGGAATGAGTATAGGAATGGGCAGTGGAGTACAAGGAGTACAAGGTACTAATATAGCAAAGAAACCGAGAAGCCAAAGTAAACTATATAAAATATGTAAAATATGTAAAACTATATGCTTAAATGCTACTGTTTCTAGATCTATACTATTAACAGCAATTTTTATCTTTACATGTATTTCACTGTATCTATACTGCTCTTAATCTCATTAATGTATATGTAATTTAGCATGGTATTCTAAAAAAATATATATATATTTTTGTAAGATACGTATAATGACTTGCATTCCTGCACAATAACTTATGTACTCTGTCATTCTTTAGGTACTGTTGACCCATGCCAGACAACTGGTGGAGGATATGGAGTACAAGGTACAGATAGAGCCAAGAAATGATATCAGGGGAAGCCAAAACCCCCTTTAATATATGTGAAAAAAAAGCCTTAACAAATTTATACTACGTACTATAATTATCTTTACATGTCTGACTGTATCTACAGTATATCCTCCTATTAATCTCATAAAGCACATTGTTGATCTACGGCAGCATAGTGGTGGAGTTAGTATTGGAACTGGTGGAAGATTTATTGGTGGGGCACAATATATTAATAAAGCCAAAAAAAAAGAAAAAGAACACATTAGAAACCCAAATAAACAATATAAAATATGTGAAATGAAAAGCCACCCCCTTAATAGAATCGGGGGGTTCTTCTCTCTACCAGTAATTTTTTTAAAGTTTAGCGCAGTTGTGTTGGCTCAACCAGCATAGTCGTGTCCTTGATTCATGGTAATGAAAAAAAACAAAGTTCTATCTCCCACCACTACAGAGAGCCTTGTAGTTCCCAACAGAGCACAAGTGTCTTCACTGCACTTGAGTCCATTGACACTACCTCCAGCCCTGTAATTGAAGATCTGTACCTTGGTATAGACCTTTGGCTGAAGGAATAGTTTGCTGGAGCCAGAGCAATGCACCCATGATTTACTGTTTGTGGTTGCAATGCCTTGCAGGCTCCAATGCAAAAAAAATAATAAACGCACATTCTTTTAATAATTATTATGGGTGCATTTATTATTCTTCCAAAGATGGATTATGCCTTTAATCCCTCCTGCTGTTCCGCATATTTACATAGCTGTATCTGAGAAGGTGATAGAAATTGGCAAGTGGCAGGACAATTATGCATCAATGAGAACCAGGACAGCTTCAGTGAATCACTGGCCAACTTCTATCTGTTGGTCAAAACATGCTTCCTATTGCTTTATGAAAAGGCTTCTATAACTATGTGAAGAGACTTTTTTTTTTTTTTAAAGGAATACGATTGGGTTGCTACTTGCTACTGCTGTAATAACTTGCATATTAGCCTTAAGAATTGCAATAACAAGATTTTTTTCCCCATACACTTCATTTGAAATTTCTGATTGTCCATGTACCTAACAGAAAACTCTGAACTCCCAGCTAATTGAACCTGGACAGAATCTTTCCCCCCTAATAAAAGTATATCTTATTGAACAATGCACTTTTTTGATAAGCATGTTTTATATCATACCCAATGGCACATAACTTTATAATTACTTTGTGTACTCTGTCTTTATCTAGGTGTGGTTGACCCATGCCTGCAAGGGAAAGGAATAGGTGCAGGAATTGGTGGAGGAATTGGAGGAAATGTTGGAGGAAATGTTGGAGTGAAAGGTGGCAATTATGGAGTCAAGAAATAAATATATTAAAATAAATTAAATTAAACGCCTAAACAACTATTTGTAAAGCTGCATTATGTATCCTTTATTTACAATTAACTTTACATGTGTCTCATTGTGTCTATATTTCTGTTAATCTGAATAAAGCATACCTGATTTAGCATTGTTATTTGTTTGATAATTTTTTTTTACCTTACCTTGTAATTTTACTTTTATTCCTGCACACTTTATTTTTACTGCTCTTCCCACAGACTTACAAAAACTGATACATATGTCAGAAAAACAGATTCGTGCTTCACAGATGGCCTCCATGATACCATGCTGGATGGGCACTAAACCCTGTAACTTTCATTATTTCATATCAGTAAAATCCACATTTTGATACAATATTCATACATCCCTTTACACAACATAACGTCCCCACCTTCCTACCAAGTGTAAAGGTAGTCCCAATATGACATAAGCAATACCATAGAAATGGTATGTTAAGTGCTGTGCTAAAAATAATTCAAATAGAAATAGAAATACATATATAAATAAAAGTCAAATCCACAAGGCTTGAAGTATAGGGAATGAGCCCCTCTCCCTTGGATCCACAGCACTTGTATGAATATCCCAAAAACTGACAAGAGGAGAAAGGGGAAGAATCCTACACCATCAACAAGCACACTGCCTCTTATCGGATAATAATGACCCCCAATTACAAACAGGTCATAATGCGCTGTATGAATCCCAAATGACAAAGATTTGAACACTCCTTAAATCGAGATCTTCACATGGAATAGACTCAAGGATGAACCTAAAGAAGTATTATCCTTTCAGAAATACTCTTTCACCTCCCAATACCACCTTTGTTAACATTGTATTCGAAATTCTCCAACCATTCCCCCAGGAGCGGTTGAATCTGGGGTGGCCATAGGAGAGAGATATTTCAAGATGTCTGGAGCGAGGACAAAGTGTTCCTTTAATTTTTTGGAGCAGTGTATAAAAGACAAACATCTACTCAATTCAAGGCACATTTATATCCATTCATTTTCAGCAGGATGCATAGTGTATGTTTCAGAAAATGCTGTAAAGAATAAAGTAATCACTTAACCACTTCAGCTTCAGAAGATTTTACCCCCTTCATGACCAGGCCTTTTTTTGCTATATCGCACTGTGCTACTTTGACTGTTAATTGCGTAGTCATTGAAAAATGTACCCAAACAAAATTTATTAAATTTTTTTTGGTGGCATTTAATCAGCACTGTTTTTTTTAAATTTTTATCACATAAACAAAAAAACACCAAAACATTTTTAAAAAGAAGATTGTTTTCTATTTTCTGTTATACAGAAAAACAAATTAAAAAAAAATTTCTTCATAAATTGAGGTCAAAATGTATTCTACTATATATCTTTGGTAAAAAAAATGCCAATAAGTTTATAATATTTAGTCTGCAGGAAAGCTATAAGATATTGGATATATAGTATTTGAAAATTGATCAATTCTGATGTACTAATGAATGCTCTCTGTTCTTGAGGCCCTTAAAATGTCAGGACAGTACATTCACCCCCCCAATTACCATTTTTTGGAAAGTAGACAGTCTGAGGTATTTAGTAAGAGGCATGGCGAGTTTATTGAAGCTTTTGTTTATTGAAAATTTTGTTGTCCTGATTTTTTGAAAAATGAAGAAATGAAAAAAAAAGTCACAGTTTTTTTTACATACCGTCACCATCAGCATCATGAGATGACTGGTGTGGCAGCGATCTGGGACACTATTTCTAAAAAAATGCTTTTATCAGAGTAGTTCAATGTTACCATAGTAACATTGTACTGCTCTGGGGGTGGGATCAGGAATTTTCTTTTTTTTCTTTTTTTTTACACTTTGATTGCTGGTACAGTGAAAATCTATGTTTATGACAGCTACCAATAGTGATCTGTGATTGGTACAGTGTGCTGTGATTAGCCCCGGTACCATGTGATAGCTGTGGGTCAATCACAGCTCACTAGTAAAGGAAGCAAAGCTTTTATGAATTACGTTGATTTATAACAGCTTTGTTGACATTTTGATCTTGATCACATGATCACCAGGCCTTGGGTAACAGGATCCGCATTCTGCTGTGTCCAGTAAATACAGCGGTTGCGGGGGGCACATACAGGCAAAATGACATACATATACATGATTTTGCTTGTACCTGCCGCCTGCTCGCAGTACATATACTGTGGGCAGCCAGCAAATGGTTAAATCACTTAAGCAGTATACCAAGTAACCTGTGATTTCCAGAATTTATCAAATCTGGAAAGAGTATTGGACTAAAGAGCTAGCATTCTCTTATATGTAAAGTGTTGGTGAGCGATGTTTACAGTTTTGGACTGATTGGGGGAGAGATCGCTTTTCCAGTGTCTTGTAATTGTCAACCTTGAGATAACAATAGGTTGGCTACAACAATGCAGTAAGAAGGGGAAATGACTCAATGTCTAGATTTAAAATGTCTAAAGTGGGATTAGGTAGGGTCAAAATGCCTATGACCTCAGATAATATTTGAAATATTTTTTGCCAGGTACTGCAAACACTTCTCCAAGACCAGAATATATGGATAAGAGTACCCTCCAACACAGGGGTGAGCTTTTGGGAAATAATTTAGTCAATCTATATGGAGTGAGGTACCAATGGGGGATTATTTTAAAAGCTAATTCCCAGTGGTTTACACAATGGGATATAGAGCATGAGTATTTTATGGTTTGAAGCCATTGGGAAGTAGAGAGGGATGTATTTAAATTTTTTTCCCATGCAAAGAAGGATTTTATTTTGTGAAGGTTGGATTTATGCTGCAATAATGTATAGAACAATGATGTACCTTTACTAGAAGTGGCCTGAGCTGTAGGAAATTGCCACACCTTAGGATGGAGGTGTACATTTGGCATTGTAGTGGACAGTAAGAAATGGCATATACAGTATATAGCAATGTGAAGTAATACATGCTTGGAAGGTTGTATTTACACATTAAACTTTTTGGATCTCCAGGGGCACCTCCTACAAATAGATCCTCAACCCAGTTAATACCATATGCTCTTCAGCTCCCTAAGGATAAATACAGAACATGACGTTCTAGGATTACAAGTAATCTAATCAATGAATTGTGTTCTGTGGAAACAAAAGGGTGACCTATTACTCTCCAGCTAATATAGACGCCCTAGTTGTAATCAGTAGTGAGGTCATATCTAGGGGTTTCCACGTGTCTGCCTGCAAAAGATTGCTGAGGGCCTTGGTTCTGGGTAAGCACTGCTCAATATCTACCCATAGGGGCACATTGGAGGTATGAAACCAATATTTTACCTGATCTAGCAGTACCACAGAGTAATACTTTTTGATATCAATCATATCCATACCACCAACTTTTCTGTTTTGAATTAACTGGCCATGCGAGCAATGGGCTATTTTCCCTTGCCACACACACACAATTTTTTTTTACAAAGGTAGAAAGGGAAGTCAAATAGGGTGGTGAGAAGGGAATAGGCATAGTATAGTATAGAATAGATAAAGGATCTGAGGAAGAATTAGCATCTTAAGAGCAGCCAATGTGCCTGACCAAGAAAGTTCAGTCTGGGCCATATGGTGAAGATCCCCCTCCAATTTGGTTATTAACGGTTTGAAGTTAATGTCAATTAGAGATGCGGTGGTAGGGGTAATGGTGATACCCAAATATTAAATGTCCCTATCCACATAGGTATGTGGAAAATGTTGCATCAGAGAGTAAGCAGTGATTTAGTAAAAAGGGATTTACTAAAAGTTACCTTATAATATGATAAGTGACTAACGTCAGAATTTGGTAAGTATGACATTTTCCAAAAATACATTGATAATGCGAGGTCTAGTTAAGAACACAAATCCATGTCCTTACCCCCCCCCCCCCCTTAGTTTTCTCTTTTCCTGGCCTATTAAGGCACTTACACTAGTGTCTGCAATGATGCTCAAGTGGACATAACAAGTTTATCATATCCTCATCAGAAAGGGGTGAGACGATTCAGAGACAGTGTAATTCACATATGGAGTGTTGCCACCTCATGGATGTTTACCATTTTTTCTCTATTCTTGGGTATATGGGAGCAGCAGGTTATAATTCGTTGCCCTCTTATGCCTCTCACCTGTACGTAATCTTACAGCTGTCCACACTTATTGTGTGGCTGTAGAAATTCAAGATAAAAAAAAAAAGAACACAAAGCCAGATACCTGTGGGTGTAAGAAAAATACATTCTGCTAGGGCAGGGATCTCCAAACTTTCTTTAGGGGGGTTGGACTATGGCCAGTGGGAGAAGAAAATGTCCTGGTGTCAGTGGGTGTAAACAATGCCCCATTATTGGTATTAGGGGGAGGAAAAGCGCCACATCTTTGGTTTCAATAGGAGAAATAGTTCCCCATCATTGTCAATAGCAGGAATAGTGCCCCATCATTGATGTCAATAGGAGGAATAGTGCCCCATTGTCAATGTCAGTGGGAGAAACTATGGCTCACTTTTGCTTGCAGTGGGAGGAATAATGCCTTGATGGCTGGATAAAAGCAAGCGAGGGCTGCATCTGGGCCACAGGCCACAGGTTGGAGACCACTGTGCTAGGGGTTGATTATTAGATTAAAGATCGCTCATGATAAGGAGCACCCATGACGAGTGCTATTTGTTATGAAGAATAGTTTAGAAAGAAGACTGAATGCATATACCTGGATGGATGATCCTACCTCTAAAACCAAATTTTCATGTAACCCCAATGCACCCTTTTGAAATGCCTTCTCTGCATCTATGGAAATGAGCAGAGAAGGTGTTTGACTCTGTTCAGCATAATGAACAACATTTGAAACATGCCTAGTGGCATCGGAAGCTTGTCTGCCCTTCGTAAACCCCATCTAGTCAGGTTGTACCAGTCTAGGCATTAGGTACATTAGGATCCTTCCCCGGCTTGGGAGAGGGTAACAATATGCACTCTCAGCATCGCTGGGGTTGCTTTATCAGCTGTGGTATTGAAATAAGTACCTCGTTTAAGAGCAAGG